GACAGCAGGGGAGAAAGCTTAGAGATTGTTGGGAGTGAGCAGGGTAAGATGCAGAGGCTGTGGGGAGCTGGGGATGAGGAGATGCAGGTGGTGGGGGGAGGTGGAAGCAGGAAGGCTGCAGGGGGAAGAAATGGAGGGAGGGCAGAGTGAGGGGGCTACCTAACCACCTCAGCCAGCCACCTGATCCCCCACTGGCCACTGCTTTTCCTGCTGTAGCAGTGGGGAGGAGATGAATTTAAAACAACCCTCCAGTAATTAGATTTTATACCTGGAAAATGATAACAAATTTATATATTTTCCATATACAGAATCTAATTATTGGGGGGTCATCTTAAATTCAGGGTGGTCTTAGATTTGAATAAAGTAAATGCATAACTAGTGATAGAAAGGAAATGGAGATGAAACATACTTTGAATAACTCGATAAAGATGACAACTGAATATCCTTTTAATAATTTAGCTAAAATGACAAAGATTTAGAGCATTACATTTCTGGCCTATTGCAAGAAAGGCTTTTAAATGCCACTATATGCAATTGAATACACACCAAACTTGCATTTAGAAATTAGTTTCTGTATGACCTCATCTTTGGTAGTTTACATGTAGAACAGAAAATACTCATCATACCTCCATAACAAGTTGGTGAGCACGGGAGACCAGCGTAAGACCATTGGCATGGTTAAATGTTTCAGAAATGTCTTGTCCAAATGTGTAGCCAGCACCACGCGGAGAGATACCCCAGCCACCACGATCATCTGGATCTGACCATAAAAGATCACACATTGGGCCCTGGCAAGGAAAAGAGTGTTTAGCTCATCATATTTCCTTATTGAGGCAAAACATTCATGAAAATTAAATAATGCTGCTTTGTAACTAAAATGCATTTCAAACAGGTTGATAGCCCTTTCTTTTCTACACATGCACTGTATATTTAGGTACTTCCCAAACACATTTTTCAGGCACAGTGTTCTATAATACTAAGAGAAGCAAGGGGTTTTCCTGGACCATATGTATAGTTGAGAGATGTGAGACAAGCTTTCAGGCACAAAGTGGCCATCTTCAGGTATCAAGTGACTGACATTGTGGGCCTGTTCATGAATACAGCAAAGGGTGGTGGTAGCTGGTGACACGCTGGTGACTGCAAGGGATACAGCAATTCATCTGCCAGTCTGACTCATTGTCTCAGGTCTGCTCCTACCAGAAATATGTATTTGAGAGGTTACGGAGGGGTTGCTCGGGCTCACGCTACCCCATGCTGCTCAGCCATGTGGACACTAATTGTACTACCAGGGGTGACCCTAAACAGATCAAAAGTAACAACATGGCTCTCCATGCAAAAGTGCAGGTGACAGGGGCCCATGTTGTCTCTCCATTGATCCTTCAAGTCAAGGTTAAGGGCCCAGGCAGCACCACATACACCCCAGAGATCAACATATGGCTGCATACATGGTGTTACCAGCAGGACTTTGGCTTTTTTGGCCATGGGCTGGTGTTCCAAGGACTGTTAGGAAAAGATGGGGTTCACCTGATGACAGCAGAAAGGCCATCTTTGTTAACCTAGTGAGGAGTGTTTTAAACTAGGGTCAATGGAGGACAAAGAGAAAAACTAAGAAGTAGAGAGTCAGGTGACCTGGATAAAAACCAAAAAAGAAGAGACTATGGGAAACCTTAATATTTCTCAGTGTCAAGTTAGAGCAAGCTGCTAGTTATCAAAGATATTTGTAAGAAGAACTGGAAGCCCTACACAATCATGTAAGTATGTTGTAATTTGTTTAACTGAAACTTGGTGGCATAATTCATATTACTGGAATATTTTCCAGGATGGGTGTAACTTGTTCAGGAAGGATGGGCAGAGGAAACAGGTGGCGGTGCTGCTCTCAGTATAACACACACATACACTTGTTCTGAGGTGCAGCACAAAGTACAGTAGCTCTGATGTTCTGGTGCGTGTTTGCTATTGCTCACCTAAGTAGGGGAAGAAAGTTGATGAAGTTTTAAAAACAACAACATCAAAAACCAGCCCAACATTTCATGGAAATATCCTGATAAGCAGGGATCCTGATTTTCTCTGATTAAAAAGAAATCCTCACGTTTCAGATTTAAAAAAGTAACCCAAAATCCACATTTTTCTCTGATTAAAATGAAACCACTAATATCTGTCTCTCTCTAGTAGGGCTGCGCAAAGCTTCAGTTGCTGATTCAATTCAGAGAAGATCTGGCCTGATTCGACGGCCGAATCTCTGAATCTGAACTGAATCGGGAGACCCGCTAAAAGGTATGAATCAAAACTGAAGCCTCTGAATCAATTCAGAAAAGATTCAGAGAGATTCAGATCAGCTGGGGAAGAGGCAGGAACAGCTGGGCAACTGCAGGTTCTCCCGCAGCTCCTCCGGCTATGCCTACCTCTCTCTGGGCTGGCGCAGCCGTGAGAGAAGGCCCCATGGCTGGCC